TTAAATGCATTTATATTATTTATTTAACTTTATTTTAATTAAATTCGTCAAACTCTGCTTCTTTTCTGTCGTTTACAACCCCGTACTGCAGGCCTATATACATACACTGCAGCAGCATTCATACAGACGCTCAGCGTAAATATATTAAAATAATTTAATTAATATATTTAATTATATTTAAATTATTTATTTTATTTTATTTTAATTATTTATTTGTTTATTTTATTTACTTTTTTATCTTATATCTTCTATTAATTTTTGCTTACTGAGGATATATATATCTGTGTTGTCTGACTAACTAATTATTTATTTATTTTATTTATTTATTTGTTTATTTGTTTATTTGTTTTATAGGTTTAATTTAATCTTTTGCTTATTTATTTATGTAATGATTTATTTATTTATTTATCTGTTTATTTGGTTTGTTTGTTAGCAAAACAGGCGCAACTAAACCCTAAACCCTAAATTAGGGTTTAGGGCTTGCGTCTCAGCCTCAGCTGCTTTCTTTCGTTTTACTCTGCACGTAAACCGCAGCAAAATCTTTCTCAAGATGCAAAACCCTAAACCCTAAACCCTAGACCCTAAACCCTCGATCAAATTGAGGTGAGAACAGTTAAACCCTCCTAAACACTCAGTTTAGGGTTTAGGGTTTATATTATTAAAATTTTTTGTTATACTATCAAATAAGCATATGCATACTCAAATAAAAACCCTATACTCCCTATCAGCAGCTAGCCGCTGCAGTTAGCTGCTGGTGCTGCAGCAAGTTGCTGCTGCTGCAGCAAGTTGCTGCTGCTGCAGTTAGTTGCTGCTGCTGCAGTTAGTTGCTGCTGCTGTAGCTAGTTGCTGCTGCTGCATCTAACAATCCAAAGCGCCTTTTTATAGGCTCAGCCGCAGCAGCAGCAGCAGCAGCAACACCAGCAGCAGCAGCAGCAGCAGCAGCAGCAGCAGCAACAGTAGCAGACTCTTTGGTCCCGCTTCTCGCGAACCCCAAACCCTAAACCCTAAACCCTAAACCCTAAACCCTAGATATCTTCTGGGTTGTAGTTATTAACTTCTTCTTCTTCACTTTCTAGACCCTCAGGAGAGACATTTGCTTCAAAGAGATGCATCGGCAGCAGCAAATCAGGAAGCTGCTGCTGCACTCTTTTAAATGCATTTGCTGCTAGCTGCATCTCCTGTACAAGCCAGGCCTCTTCATCCCCTTCTGCTGCTGCTGCTGCTGCTGCAGTTGCTGCTGGTGGTGCTTCTGCTGCTATTCCTTTTGCTGCAGCAGCAGCATCTGCTGCTGCTGGATCTGCTGCTGCAGCACCGCTCTGTTCATACCTCTCCTGGGTCTTCTCTTGCTTCTCCTGCTGCCATTTTTGCTGCTGCTGCTGCTGCTCCTGCTGCTGCTGCTGCTCCTGCTGCTGCTGGTGAAGGAGGCGTACAGCTTTGCTGCAGCGAAGAGAATTATCTAAGTAAAAGATCTCAAACTGTTTGCATGCATCTGCTAATCGCTTCTCTGAGTCAAAGACCATCAGCACTGTCTCTCTCAACACATTCTCGCGCTGCCGCACGTCGCTCTCCTCACGGCCTGCTGCCTGCAGCAGCAGCAGCAGCAGCAGCAGCAGCAGCAGGGGTAGTAGTAGCAGCAGGGGTAGTAGTAGTAGCAGCAGCAGCAGCAAGAGGTAGAGAAGCAGCAGGTAGAAAGCAGGAGGGATAGAAGTTGTAGAGATGCAGCAGCAGCAGCAGAAGCAAAAGCAATGACAGAAAGAAGCATAAACAGCAGCAGCATTAGCAGCAGCAGCAGCAGCAGCAGCAACTGCAGCACCAGCATTAGCAGCACTATCAGCAGCAGCATTAGCAGCGGCGGCAACAGAATAAACAGCAAAAGAAGCAGCAGCAACAGAACTATCAGCAGCACTAGAAGCAGCAGCATTAGCAGCAGCAGCATTAGCAGCAGCAGCATTAGCAGCAACAGCATTAGCAGCAGCAGCATTAGCAGCAGCAGCAGGGGTTTACTTTCATTTGCTGCAGCACTTGCTGGTGCTCAATGACTTCTTCTTTGTAGTAAATTAAATCCTTTAAAATCCTCTCAACGACTTTGCGCTTTATCATCAACTGCCGCTGAAAGGCATCCATTGCTGCTGCTGCTGCTGCTGCTGCTGCTGCTGCTGTCTGTGGTGCTGAGGGTGGGCCTACTGCTGCTGCCAGTGCTCCTGCTGTTGCTGTTTGTGTTGCTGCTGTTGCTAGGGCTGCTGCTGCTGCTGCTGCTGCTGCTAGTGTTGCTGTTGTTCTCTGTGTCGCTGCGGGTCGTCCTGCTGCTGTTGGTGCTGCTGCTGCTTTTTGTGCTGCTGCTGCTGCTGCTGCTGGTTTTGCTGTTGCCGTTGCTGCTGCTGTTTTTGCTGCTGTTAAGGCGGCTTGCGCTCCTACTAGTGTACGTGCTGCTGTTCCTCTCTATTCTGCTGCTGCTGCTGCTGCTGCTGTCGTCCGTGCTGCTGCTGCTAGTACTAGTGCA